TCTCGCGGCACACTAGTGTGCCGGGGAACAGCGGTTGAAAAACGCTGGAATAGATGATTGTGTGCTGCAAGATAGTTCAGGGCATCCTAATCTACATGTTATTGCCTCCTACTGGCCAAACACCTGACCAGTCGTAGGCTATTCCTCAATCTGACAATGCTTCTGTATGGAAACCCTGGCCTTTGAAGTGTATATCTCCACATTGCCTTTAGGACAAATTGTACTAATAAAAAGCAAGGGGTCCTGAGACACAAGGAGAACTTAGCTCCTTTAGCTAAAGCTCCTCTGACTCCCAATGCCTTTCAAAATTATCTTTCATCTCTGGACTCTTACTTCAGTTACACACGGATCCTTTCTCCAGATTGCTGAACCCTTCTTATTGCTGGAACAAGAATCCCAGCATGCTGTGTGTTTTGATCTGGTGGTTAATCCATGGTGAAGTGTGTGTAGATTCATCAGCTGTGCACTTCAGGTGCATGGGCCTTAAAGCATGCGAGTTATCTATAAGAATAAAAGTGTAATATGCTATTTAGACCGGACAGCCGAATGACCTTTTGGACATCCTTCCAGACATCTGAGGGCCGAGGATAACCGCTGCTGCTGCTAGGGGCAAGCCCCTTGCACAAATGCTATGCATCAAGCCTCTTCAAACTACGGCCCGCGGGCCACATGCAGCCCGCAGAGGAGTCTGATCCGGCCCGCCAGGTTTTTTGGGCAGTGAGCGCAGCCGAGGTGTTACAGTAGGAATTAGTAGTTCATATAGTCCGGCTCTCCAGCTCTCTGAGGGACCATGATCTGGCCCCCACTTTAAAAAGTTTGAAGACGCCTGAAGCACTTCAATATAAAGTAAATCCCAAAAGTGTGAGGTAATTTTAAGTGAAGAAAAGAAGCCAGTTCTAGAGTCATTCCGACCACAGGTTTTTAACTTAAAAAACTGGGTTCTAATTATGGCTCTACCACACCCTTATCTGTGCCTCATAAGTACTTGAGGGAATGAGCTATTTAATCTCTCTGTGCCTCATTTTCTCCACCTGTAAAGATGGAAATAATAATAGTATCTTCACTGTTGTGCCATTTTGAGTGAGTTAATCCTTGTAAAACCCTTGGAACAGTGGTTAGTACGCAGTAAGTGCTCAATAAACATTCGTTCTTTCTCTCATTACCGATGTAGGTCAAGCACAGTGTGATCTCTGTGGGTAGAGAGGTCAGAGACACAGCCCTATCACCCATGGAGTGCACCACCCAATGGGAAGCCAGCAGCCACAGGAAGAGTGCCCATCCAGCCTGTGGTTCCAGGACGGGAACACAGAGCACTTGGAGTGGGAGGAAGAAAAATGTGCAAAGGCGCCTGGTGGTGGAGCATGAGGGATGGTTCGGTTGGACAGTGCAGTTACGAGCAGAGTCCATGGAGATGAGGCTGGGTGGCAGGGAGAGAGCAGTCAGCAAGTTCCTTCTCAGCCCGTCGTGGAGCTGGGGATTTCCCCTGAGGTCAAAGGGGGACACCGAAGGATTTAATGGGGGACACCGGCAGATCTCCTTTGAGGAAGACCACTCTCTGAATGGCAGGCAAGATAGAGACAAGGGAATATACCTGCACCTAACGACATATACTGTAATTGGCACGTTTAGATCATACTTATTGCTGGTCTCCTCCCAGCTGGACCATGCCGATGGAGAGAATGCTCTGGGATGCGGGATGGCGTGGCTGTGTCAGGACTTCCCTTGGCAGGGGACGGGGTGTGTGATATGGGGAGTGTGGAGAGGCAGGAAAACAGAGAAGCAGAGAGGGGGGTGACTCCTGAGCTTTTGGCCTAAGGAGTGAAGGGGGCAGTGGTTTCACTTACTCTGGGAGGAAATGCTGCCTTTAGTTTAGACCTGTGAGAGGTCTGGTGGTGTGTGGCCAGACATTATTAGAAAAACAGATCCGTATCTCAGAGGCATGCTTTGAGGAAGACATGGGGTGATTGCAAAGCATTTCACCACTGGTAAAGCATGGGTGCCCATGCGTTAGGATGAATGCTGGCCATGGGGCGGCACAGGGTCCTGCAGGCCCTCGCTGTGCCTAGGTGTTAACTTGTCAGCTGCTGGGCTGAGATGAGGTCTAGAGGTCCCAAGGGAGGCACTCCGGTGACCCAGGGATACAGATCTCTACCAAGCAGCACATTGGGTTGAAATACGATTACCTCTGGTATGGCTGCACATGGACCAGCCTGGAGTTCTTAACTCCATGCCCGATGTTGTGCTAAACTAAACCCTGACCACCCATGACCTCATTCAAACCTCACAACCACCCTGTGAGGTATCACCACCACCATCATCTCCATTCTGACAGGGGCAGTGGTCGAGCTGTCTTCTCCCAAGTGTACTGGTACTCTCACCTGGGAAATTTCACTGCAGCCTCTGATGCTGGATCACCTGCAATTTAATCAGCATCTTCAATTGTTTGTGCACATTCCCTGTTCAAAAAGCAGGGCAGCCCTAGCTGCTTTGGCTCAGTGGATAGATGAGTGTTGGCCTGCAGACTGAAGGGTCCTGGGTTTGATTCCAGTCAAGAGCACATACCTCAGTTGCAGGCTCCTCTCTGGCCTGAACCCTGATCAGGGCTCATGTAGGAGGCAACCAATTGATTTCTCTCACATCAATATTTCTCTCTTTCCCTCTAAAAATCAATGGAAAAATATCCTTGATGAGGATTCACACACACACACACACACACACACACACACACACACACACAGCAGGGCAACCGTGTTTCCTGAAGGTTCCCATCACTCATGGAGGCATTCCAAGAGACATCCTCAGCCCTTTGCAACCAGTTCTAATCACCCCCAGCCCAGCCCTCGCAGAACTGACCACTCCCTCCTCTGTGCCCCATTGCCCCTGGCTAAGGCACCTGTCATTCCATATGACTACTGTCACCCCCACTGGAATGTAGGCCCCTGGAAGACAAGGAGCCTGTCACACACATCTTACATTCATTGATGCCTAGCAAACATCTGGCATGGGCTCAATAAAAGTTTGCTGAATGAGCAGACACATGAACGAGACTGAACTGTGATTAGTATTTGGGGTAAGATGGAGCTCCAATTGCCCTCCCATCAGGAATATGTAAATTCATAATGCATCCCTTTTATTTTCATCACTTGAATATTCACTTCTCTGACCCTTGTAGGTATTTTCTACTATATTAAATAGCAATCTATTAAACTACTTAAGTCTAGGATTATAGACTACAGACATGATGGAAGAGCAAGAATGTGCCTAATGTAACCAACCAACCTGAGAAAGAACTCAATTTAACTTTCTCGGGAGCATCGTTTATTTTGCTCACCCCCTCCCCAAATGAGGGCAAGACTAGTTGTTACAGCATATACTTATCAACTCTTAGACTTTAAAATAAGAATGGAGCCGAAACCGGTTTGGCTCAGTGGATAGAGTGTCGGCCTGCGGACTGAAAGTTCCCAGGTTCGATTCCGGTCAAGGGCATGTACTTTGGTTGTGGGCACATCCCCAGTAGGGGGTGTGCAAGAGGCAGCTGATAGATGATTCTCTCTCATCGATGTTTCTAACTATCTCTCTCCTTTCCTCTCTGTAAAAAATCAATGAAATATATTTTTAAAAATAATAAAATAAGAATGGAGCTGCTGTCTGCTGGTACGGCGAGGCATCGTCAGCACCAGATCTGAAATATCATGGCTGACATGTACACATAAGGAACTATTTGACATTGAAATTGGGACTCAAAAGAACTGTTGACCCCAAAAGGAACTGATTGATTTGCCTCTCAGCATAACCATTATGGTTTGTCTCAATTTAGGTTCTTACAAGGGTATTTCTTGGATCACATGATCTCACACATCTAGAGGAAATAATGAACATCAAATGATGAACAAAAACAGACCCAGAGACAGAGAAGCAGCGATCAGACTCTCAAACCTCAGGGGAAAGGTAGGGGAGGGTGGGGGTAAGGGAAGAGATCAACCAAAGGACTTGTGTGCGTGCATATGGGCCTAGCCAGTGGCCATGGACAACAGGCAGGCGGGGACATATGTGGGGAGGGGTTTGGGATGGGAATGGGGGAATGAGGACAATTATGTTATAGCATAATAAAATTAAAAATAAAAATAAGAATGCAAATGACTTCTCACACCTAGAGAGGGCCAGTCCTGATAGGCAAACTACTTTGGGAACATCATGCTAAGAGGCGTGAGGCCTCAGGGATGATGCCTCTGGCACCTAGAATGATTGACAGACGGAAGCTCAGAGAAACGACATATGCACTCAGGTCCTGGCCCATCTCTGGCCCCTGTGGTAAGGGATTGGGGGCGGGGCAGGGAGAGGAGCTCCTGCTGCTTCAGGCTCTGAGCCGGGACCAGTGCACTGGTGTTAAGTGAAGGATGTTGTCATGACTTAGAGGGGCTGGATTCAAATCTTAACCCTGCCATTTTCTTGCTAATGATCTTGCATGTTGCTTTTCAGCCTGATGCCCTCTGTTAAGTGGAAAATGATAACGCCCACCTCTGGAAGTATTAGCAGAAATAGAGGCCTATGGAGCGCTTTTAGCACGATGCTAGCACACAGGCACTCACAAACCCCTTTGTCAGCTAGGAGGTAGAGGCAACCTGGGAAGTAAAGGCAACATGCCCAGGTTTGTACTGGGGGTCAGAGGTTGCCAGATGGTCTGAGACCCTGGTTCTCATACCGGCTGCACATTAGAATCGGCGGGGTGCCTTTAAAATCCCACCACCAGCCCTCTTTACACCCCCTCCCTCCCAAACCCCTGAGGGCCCGGGATTTTTAAAGCGTCTGGAAAATTCAAATAACAAGAGCCACGCCAATGGAAAGTTCCAGGCCTAAAAGTGAGGCCATCCTGATTTCAGAATTGAAAAAAAAGAGTCTGAAAACTGAAAACTTTACCTTTCTAATCCTCTAATACTGCACATTAGTAAAAAAAAACATCGTAATTACTAAATTCTCTGAAAGCAACCACTCTGGAAAAGTAACAAAGCTCAAGTGTTTATTAAGAATTAAAAATACTGTAAATAAGCCATACAGTCCATTTCACAGTAAACTAAACAAACCTTTTTTTATCGTTTTCTTTTTTCCTCTTTTTTTTTGAAAGGCAAGACAGCCATTAAAGAACAGCACAGCCCGAAGGGGAGGGAAACAGCAAACAACTACAGAAGCGCTCCTCACTTGACCCTCCCCGGACCCTGGGGTGAAATAAAAAGACGAGGCCTCCACTCCCTCCGGGGGGGCAGCCCAGGCCTTTGTGGGCAGCCCCCCTTACACATTTCCTGAAAGAATCCAAGGACTCCCCTTGCAGGGATTATAAACCTGTGCATTTTGGGGGGTCCCCACCAAGAGGCGGCACAGGTCGGCCACAGGGGACTCTGTGGGGCATTGTGCCTTCACATTCATTCAGAACCGTCTGGATTCTTTGCATAGTTACCTTTGAGACGGGGAGAGGACCCGGGAGAGGACAGGGAGAGGAAAAGGACACCCTCAGCAGGGGAGGCCACAGTCCCTACCCGCTGCTTCTCGTCTGAAAAACGAGGGGCCCTCCCCCTCCCGATTCGGAGCTGGCATTTCTGAGTTTTAACCAGTTTCAAGTGGAAGACAAAAAATGAGTGACATCTCCGAACACTTCCTTCTTCTGGATTAAAAAAAAAAAAAAAAAAAGTAAAATGAATTTTCCTTAAAGACAATCAGAGAGAAAAAATGCCCCTTCCCCCACTTTTTTCTGCTTCCGATCTGCCAGCCAGGCAGGCTTTTGTGAGGTTGGCGTCCATCTGCTGGATCATCCTCAGGGAAACCATACCTGCTCTCTGACACCAGAGACATCCCTGCTGCCCTCAGGAAGCCAAGCAGAAGCTGAACGCCTGAGAAACCAGTGGTGTGTGGTAAGGACCGTAAATAAATTAACCGCGCACGGAAATACAAAATGCTGTGGTGCTCCAAGTGGGGTCCTCTGCCCTTTCGGAGGGGACCAGAACGAGAGGGGGAGGGGCGCACGGGAGAAAAATAACACTTTTTTCCTTTTTTTTTTTTTTTTTGGTCGTGAGAAATTGGGACTTTCAACCGCACCCTGCGAAGACAATCCGTTTAGACCTTTTCGTGAATCTTTTCGACTTGCACAAACAACCGGTCCAGGTCGTGCCTCAGGTCGTCGAGGAGACCCTTGGCCGATTCCAGGTTGTTCTCGTTGGTCTCGATCTTCACCGAGTAGGCCACCAAGCTGTCCACGGCAGTCCTGAGCATCTTCAAGTCCTGCTCCACTTGGCTGACGGAGGACTTGAGGTGGTCCAGGGAGGACAGTCTGTCCAGCAGGTCCTCTGGCGGCAGGCGGCCCGCGGGGGCCTGGTCCTGGCCCAGCAGCGTGTGCACCTGCTCCTGGACCTTGTGGAGCGCGTCCACGGTGCTGGGGAGCTCGCCCAGGCTCCTCTTCAGCTCCTCCACGTCGCTGTAGAGCGAGAGCTGGGCCTCCCCGAGGCTCCGCACGGTGCTGGCCAGGCCGCCCCTGTCCGTGTCCTCCGCGGAGTCCCTGCCGTCCAGGCGCTGCTGCAGGGCGGCCAGGCGCTGCTCGCACGCCTCGCTCCTGGCCAGCAGGGTCTCCAGGCTCTCGCTCTGCCTCGCCGCGGTCGTCTGCACGGCCTGGACTCCGTCCTCCACTGTCTGCAGCCGGGCGTCCAAGCCCTGGCTCTTCCTCTGGAGCGCGTCGAGGGCGTCCGAGTGTTTGAAATGCCCATCTTCCTCCGGCTCCAGGGACCGGGCCTTCAGCTGGCCCAGCTCCTCCGCGAGCCTCCGGACCTCCTCGGGGAGGCGGGAGGTGGCCTCCTCCGCCTGGAGGACCTTCTCCGTGAGGGCCTGCAGCGTCAGGTGCTCCGAGTCGGCCGCCTCCTTGAACTTCTGCTGCTCCTGCTTGAGGCTCACCAGCTCTTTGACCTCGGTGTAGACGTCCGACTCCATGGTCTGCAGGGTGCTTCTCAGGGCCTCCAGGTCCTTCTCTTTGGACTTCAGGGAGGCCTGGATGTCCTTCACGACCTCCTTCAGGGCCTTCAGCTCCTGCTCGTCCCCCTCCGAGTGCTCCAGAGAGGCCACCTTCGCCTTCACGTCGTTGATCTCCTTCTGGCTCCTCTTCTGGACCTCGGTGAAGATGGCGATGTTGTCGTTGATGGACTTGGTGAGCTCCGTCAGCCTCTCCTCCACCGTGTTCTCGAGGGACGTGAAGTCCCGCTCCCGGGCATCCTTCACCACGTGGATGCCGTCCGAGAGGTCCTTGAGGATCTCGTTCTGGAGCTTCTGCAGAACCTCGCTGATCCGGTTGATCTCGCTCTCCCCTTGCTTCATGACTTTCTCCGCGAGCTCTTGCTTATGCTGGAAGGTTCTCAGGAAGGACTCGAAAGTCCCCAGGGTGGTTTGCAGAGACTGCACCTGTAACCAAAGTCCAGATGTTAACTGCTAAGGAGAGCTGATGCGTGTTATGCTACACAACTCATTTCTTTTTGTCTGCCCAGCCTCCGAGTCTCTCCTCTTTTAGAATGGCACCCAAATTTTCCTTTGGAGAACCATCCTTTCACATACAATCTGTGGGGTTTGGGGGACCAACCTAAGGGGCCCCCCAAGTGCTCCAGGGATGGTCTCTAACACAGGCTTAGCCAATCAGCACTCTCCATCCACCTTCCCCCCAAATTGGAGCCACAGTGATTAGCCAAGCAATGGGCATATGGCCTAAAGCAGGCCAACAAATCAATTCCAGAACTTCCTTTAAACCCACTCAGAAGGAAAGCCACTTTCTCCTGGAGACTGCCAGCTACAGAAGGAGAGAGCCTAGAGCAGAACTACACAGACCAGCATGGGAAGAATGCGGGTCTAAGGACCAAGCAGGCACAGAGGGAAGCAGAAGTGAGAAACACGACAGCAAGATCAAGGTCTGAAGATACAATCTGGAATCCCGGATGCAGCTCTACCTGAAGGAATCTCTCCCCACCCACTGCTCTTTGAGCCAAGCTCCTAGCTTTTGCAAGAGAAAGAGTCTCACAACTTTTCATGGAAAAACAGCTGAGTCACGTGGGAGACACTGGGCTGGGAGGCAAGAGACAAGGGCCCGGGTCTGTCACCGCTTTTAGCTGAGTGGCCCTGCGCAAGTCAAGGTCCTTACCTGCAAAACGTGAGCCGTGGGCCAGGTGACCCTTTAGCATTCTCTGGCTCTGCGAACACGTTATGATCCCGTTTGCCATTACACGTCCATTTTAAGTAAATTCTACCCTAAACAAGGTCTGACCTCGGAACTACCCCAGGGAGCTGGCTTAATGTACTGAGAGGCTGACAGAGGATGATTAATGGCCCGGGCTTTAACACAGAATGCTTCCTTACACACATACAACGGGAAAAAGAGCCTGAATCTACCAAGTCTCTACTTTTTTGTGAATTGGTTAGTCACCAATTCACAAAAAGACACACTAGTGAGAAATATATGCCAGGAGGAAGCAATCAGCCAAATCCACAAAGTGGAAAATTCCACAGGACAAATAACCAGGATCTCCAACAAGGCAGTGGCATTTTAAATGGCATCTTAAAAGGGAGAAAGACAGCAGACAATTGTAGGTTAAAAGAAATGTAAAGACTTATCAATCAAATGTAATGTGCCGACGTAAATGGATCCTGATTCAAACAAACCAACTGCAAAAGAGACATTTCTTAGAGAATCGAGGAAATCTTATTACGAACTGGGTATCAGAAGATAATAAAGAATACTTGTTAACTTTGTTAGGCATAATAGACTGTGTTTTGTCGAAAGAAACGAGGAAAAAAAGAGAAGCTCTTATCTGTTAGAAATAAATCCTAAAAATACTTTGGGTGGGTCAGTCAGGGATTAACTTTATTTATTTATTTATGTTTGTTTGTTTGTTTGGGGGAAATTAACTTCATAATAACCGTTTCCCCGAAAATAAGACAGTGTCTTATATTAATTTTTGCTCCCAAAGATGCGCTACGTCTTATTTTCAGGGGATGTCTTATTTTTCCACGAAGAAGAATACGGTACACATTTATTGTTAAATGAAAATAAAGGAAATTTATTACCTGTATACGGTACGGCAGTACGGTAGTTGTCAACACAAACCAGACAAACCGTGAATCCTCCAATATCGAGAATTTACTCATTTATTCAATGACAATCATGTCATCATCTTCTGGAACATCATCATAACAATCCAATTCCTGAATTTCCTGGTGAATTTCTTGTGACTCCATTTCTTTCAGAATCAGTGGACCAAATCATGTTTAGCCTGCGGGGGCCTTATTTTCGGGGGAATGCCTTATATTTCATTTCGGAGGAGGAAACCTGTAAGTAGGTCTTATTTTCAGAGGATGTCTTATTTTCGGGGAAACCCGGTACCGAAAATAAGACATCCTCCGAAAATAAGACCTAGCGCAACTTTGGGAGAAAAAATTAATATAAGACACTGTCTTATTTTCGGGGAAACACGGTAGTTCCTAGTTCACTATCCCCGAGTCTGTGAGGGTAACACGGGCCCTTCAGAGGGCCTAGAACCAGCTGGCACTGTTTTCTGAAGCTCTGCACCCACTTGTGCTGCTGAACCTCCTGGGTAAGGGCAGGCCGGCTCCTCTGCCCAGGCTGTAACCATTCAGAAGACCTGGGCCGTTTTCTGAAACTGGGAACCAACAGAAACCAGGTGGGTACCCAACAGGCCAGTGGAGTAGAGTGCTTCAGCATCAAACTGCGTGGAGAAGGGGTGGCAATAGAATGAAACAATAGGGAAAAAAATGATAATTACTGAAATTGGGATTCATTATATCGATCTCTTCTTTTGTTTATGCTTCAACATTCCCGTGATTAGAGGTTAAAAAATAAAACAGTGTGGGCTCCAGAACCAGACTGCCTATGTTCATAGCCCAGCTTGGACACCTCCTGGGTGCTCGTGGGCAAGTAACTTAACCTGGGGTCAGGGCACCCCAGGACCTTCCGTCCCCCCACTGAGGACCTGTGCGTGACCTTGGTTTCCTCAGCTGCAGGATGGAGACAAAAATAGTACCTGGTTCAGGATTGTCTTGTGAATTAACCTATGTAAAGGGCTTCGACTGTGCCTAACACATAGCGTATGACCAACGATTGGTAAGCGGCATCTTCGTTGTTGTTTAATCTTTCTTTTGAAGCAGCTCAGAAGCCTGGAGATTCCTAGACCACCCTGAGCCCAATGCCAAAGGGAGAACGCTACAGGCATGGGAACAGGACACCTGGGCCCTCGTTCCAGTCCCACCAGTAATAGGCTCTGTGGGCACAAATAAGTCACACTCGCCTCCCCAAGTCCCAAGCTCCTTGTCTATTAACAAACAGGTTTCTCATGTCCCTTCTGGCTTCTACCGGTCTGTGATTTTAAGATAAATTAGACTAAGGTTCTCAGGGACTCTAGGATATTAAACAATTCTCCTGCCCAACCAAATATAACCTGAATCATTAAGGACAGTGGAGAGAACTCACCTCTAAAACTAGGTTATGTAATCACAGTACTTGCCCGTTCTAAGCATAGCCCTCAGAATAGAGATGTGAGAGCAGTACCTGCGACACATGCACGTGTTCGCCAATGTTTTCTGAATGAATCAAAGGATAAATGAATTAACAGAGCAAAATCTAATGAGGACCAAGCTGGTCCATTTCCCTGAATGTCACTCTGGGCTGGCTCTTTACAAATGGCTAGGAAGGGGACTATATCAGAAATTATGAATGAGATCAAACAAACCAACCCTCAACATTATAGAAAGAACATAGAAAGTATGCCCTCCCTGCCCCGCCCCCCAATCGGGGTACTGATGCTATTGGTTGTTCTTTTTACATGCAAAAATCCTTATTATAATTAACTAGTGGCCCAGTGCACAAATCCGTGCACATTGAAAGGAAATTAATTAGAATAGTTTAATATTGCTATTTGCCCTTTCTCTATTTGGTTGAAGTGTCAACCAAATTCACAATCGACAATGACAGATGGAAACAACATGTGTGCGATTGGCGCCAGCGAGAGTTTTATATGTATTGCTCATGCAACTTAGCCTTTTATAGATGAATAAACTTGCTTAATTAGACCTGCTTTCTGATGGAGCTAAACTTTTTCCAGCCCAGCGAAGCATCCCCTCTCTTTCAAGTAACTGTCAGCAACTCAGCAGTAAATATCAGCATGAAGCAGATTATTATCGTAGGTCACCCAGGGAGAACAAAGGGTAAAATATTCACCTGCAGGAGTGTTTTATTATATTCTGCACAGTGAGAAAACCTGAAGTCATTTTCAAGGTCCACCATTTCTTACTTCTTTCAATCAGGTTAAGTTTCTTGACGTTCTACATTTCCATTTTCCGGTTAATAAAAAGAAAACGGGATTCCACTGAGTCTCCTATCTACCTACTCCAGGACTTCTGTGAGGATCAAATGAGATGAGGCACGGGAAAAGGCTTCACAGACATTTGGTTAAAGTGTGAAATGTTTCCACCTGGCTATAAAGCAAGTTGTGTTCCTGGGCTGAAGAAACTGCAAAGAGGCTAGTCACCACTAGGGAGAGGAAGCCAGACATTACTACATGACATCATTACCCAGATGGATATTAGCCTTTAGATATAGATAGATACCCTGTTTCCCCGAAAATAAGGCAGCGTCTTATATTAATTTTTTCTCCCAAAGTTGCGCTAGGTCTTATTTTCAGGGGATGTCTTATCTTTTCATGCGCTAGGTCTTATTTTCGGAGGACGTCTTATTTTCGGGGAAACACGGTAGGTAGGTAGGTAGGTAGGTAGATGGATAGAAAGATAGATAGATAGATATGCAATGGATGCATCTGTTCCTCAAGTGATGGGTACCGGACAAGATGTCAAAGATAAAATAACAGCTAAGACAGGATCCCTGACCTCAAGTAGCTCACAGCCTGGGGAAGGAGGATAGTGGTGACTGTCACTCATTACTATATACAAAGATATATCATCTCATCCCATCTTCATAATAATCTCATGAGTTGGTGGCTCACATTGATCATTTTACAAGTGAGGAGCCATAGAAGAGGTAGAGCTAAGGATCAACATCCCTGAAGGTGGGACTTCAGAGGCGAAGCTCCTCTACACAGTATGCTTGGGCAGAGGTGTGTTCAAGTGCACCGAGTGCCTGGAGGCGCTGCCTAACCCTGAAGCCGACTCCTGGTCAAAATGGGAAAACAAAGAAGTATGACCAGAGAGCTCACTCTTCTACAAACAACAAGTGGTCTCATTAAACCGCCCCCACCCGCTAGGCCTAAGCTGACTCCTTCGACCACTTCAGGACACGCTGGATCTGCCAGGGCACCCCAGGACCTTCAGCTCCACTGCTCAGGTCTGTGTGTGACCCTGAACCAGTAACAACCGCTCTAGGCTCAGCTGGCCCCTCTGTGAACTAATAAATGACACATGCCTCAGGGGGTGGCTGGGAAGCACTTAAAAGAATGCCCGGTGTTAATATGTGAATACTAATTATAAAAAACACACTGTAGGTATAATACTATGAATAATAATAGTGAACACAATTATGAATAATAACACTGTCAATATATGTCCTTGCTGAGATCCAAACCTCAGCCCTAACCAAGCCTGATATCGAGTTTTAAGGTTTCAAACTTAGGTTGTCAGAGGACCCACTACTCAATCCAAAATAACTTACCGTATTTTTTGGACAATAAGACGCATTTTTTCCACCCAGAAGTGGGGGGGAAAAGTCCCTGCGTCTTATGGTCCAAATATAGCCTACACATATACTTTAAAAAAAAAGTTTTTTACTTGCCCGGCTCTGTGTGGTCTCTGTGTGCTTGCCCGGCTCTAAAATGGTTCTAAATGCTGCTGTTTACTTTACAGGGTTGATTACATGTGTTTATGACTGTGATGTTGGGTTTTAATGCACATAAAATATTTTAGGACACTATTTGTTTCAGAATCTTTTTTTCTTCATTTCCCTTCTCTAAAAACTGGTGCATCTTATGGTCCGAAAAATACGGTACTTACTGTCCACCCAGAGTTGCACTCAGAAGGGACCACATACTGTGGCAAATCCTAATACTGTTCTGGGCGTGTTCTGAGTTACAAGTCAACGGAGTAAGCATAAATTGAGCACTGCTGCATACCAGGCAAGGCACAGGAAAGATAACAAAATGGACGGATGAGTGGTTAAGAGTGTTCTGGGATACCCAGCCAGCATGGCTCAGTGGTTGAGATTCGACATATGAACCAGGAGGTCATGGTACTATTCCTGGTCAGGGCACAGGCCTGGGTGGAGGGCTCGATCCCCATGGTGGGGTGTGCAGGGGGCAGCTGATCAATGATTCTCTCTCATCATTGATGTTTCTCTCTCTCCCTCTTCCTTCCTCTCTGAATTCAATAAAAATGTATTTTTTTTTTTATAAGTGTTCTAGCCCTAGCTGGTTTGGCTCAATGGATAGAGCACCGGCCTATGGACTGAAAGGGCTTGGGTTGGTTCCATACAAGGGCACATGCCTGGGAGTCGGGCTCGATCCCCAGTAGGGGGTATGCAGGAGGCAGCCAATCAATGATTCCTTCCCATCACTGATGTTTCTCTCTCTCCCTCTCCCTTCCTCTCTGAAATCAATAAAATATATACTTATAATTATATATGTATATATATAGATATGTACATATATATATATATATATATATATATATTTTTTTTTTTTTAAGTGCCTGGGGCCAAAACCAGTTTGGCTCAGTGGATAGAGCGTCGGCCTGTGGATGGAAAGGTCCCAGGTTCGATTCTGGTCAAGGGCATGTACCTTGGATACGGCACATCTCCAGTGGGGAGTGTGTAAGAGGCAGCTGATCAAAGTGTTCTCTCTCATCGATGTTTCTAACTCTCTCACTGCCTCTGAAAATAATCAATAGAAATTATATTAATAAATAAATGAATAAAGTGCCTGGGAGACAACTGTGGTTTGAACCCTAGCCCTGCCATTTACTAGCTATGTAGCTATGCAAAGTCACTTGTGTCTCACTTTTCTGAGGGGGATCACAGTACAGCTGACCCTTGAGCAATGTAGGAGTTAGTGGTGCCAACACCCCTGCCTTTTGACTCGAAAATCCACATACACTTTTTGACTCCCTAAACCTAACTACTAATAGCCTGTTGACCAGACGCTTTATCATTAACATAGTCAATTAACACATAATTTGCCTGCATTCTATTTGTAATATACTGTATGTTTACAATAAGTTAAATGAGAAAATAAAATGTTATTAAGAAAAGCATACAGTACAGTAGGTATATATTAAGAAATCCACATATAAGTGGACCTATGAAGTTCAAACCCACGTAGTTCAGGGTCAACTGTACTTACCCCTTGGGGGTTGCTGTTAAAGAGATGAGTGCACAGTAAATACGATGCATTAAATAATAGTTACTAAATTAGTAAAGAAAGGTCACTAAATAGTGATCCCTATTTCAATACTTTACAGATGGGTGGATTCTTAAAAATTCTAGATGGGCCCCTCCTCTCACTGTGCAGATGGGAAAACCGAACCCCAGAAAGGAAAGCAATCCACACAGCAGTGACGGGAAGGCGTGGGAACCAGAAAAGAGGGAATAAGAAGGGCAGGGAGGAAGTGAAGAGAAGAAAGCCCAATTTCTTCAGCCTAGATCCATGGCCTCCCCCCCCCATTTGGGCCTCAATTTCAATCACCCCTCTCACAGCTTCCCAGTACTCTATTATTGGCAGGGTAGCCACCTGCTGCCCCTCAAACATGCTCCAGATTGTCCCCTGCCTGTGTCCTTCATGCCTTTTCTCAACAGGTACTACGGTGTTTCCCCGAAAATAAGACCTACCTACAGGTTTCCTTCTAAGTGAAATATAAGGCATCCCCCCCAAAATAAGGCCCCCCTAGGCTAAAGATGAGAGATTTGGTCCACTGATTCTGAAAGAAATGGAGTCACAAGAAATTCACCAGGAAATTCAGGAATTGGATTGTTATGATGATGTTCCAGAAGATGATGATGACATGATTGTCCTTGAATAAATGAATAAATTTTTGTAGGATTCACAGTTTGTCTGGTTTGTGTTGACAACTACCGTACTACCGTACCGTATACAGGTAATAAATTTCCCTTATTTTCATTTAACAATAAATGTGTACTGTGTTCTTCTTCGTGGAAAAATAAGATATCCCCTGAAAATAAGACCTAGCGCATCTTTGGGAGCAAAAATTAATATAAGACACTGTCTTATTTTGGGGGAAACAGGGTAGATCTCCACTGATCCTACCCTGCCCACCAGGATCCAGGCCCCGGAAAACTCCACGCCCTCTCTCTTCTGGACATTTCCCCATTTTCCCGATACAAACCTACTTTACGTGCAGCTTCACAAATGATTCCTGTCTTTTCTATTTTTTTAGGAATGACTGAACACACTCAGGATAGGCAAAGCAGCACTGCCTACTGGATTCAGAAAGTCACCTCCCCTGGCCTGCAGCACTGAGCAGACTGACTCATCCCAGTGGCTCTGCCTGTCTGAGGGGGGACATTCCCAGTCCTGCAGACTCCACAAAAGTGGAGAGGAACTTGGCAGGCCAGGCGGCATGCTGGGAAAAGGAGGCAGCAGTTTTCAGCCTCAGAAGTGCTGGCGGGATTTTTTTTTTTTTTCAATCAGGCAACCAACTTTCATTGAGCAATGACATTGGTGGAGGTCGGAGGAGGAATGAGATGTGAGGTTATAGCACTTGGGGTGGGAAAACACGCAGAGAAGGATGGGAGCTAAGCAACTGTGTGCTAAAAATCTGGGTCCACCCACACATCTGAAATAGGCCCCTTGCAGACCCTGAAGTAGGCACTGGACTGGACACTCTCACGCAGCCTGCCGCTCACTAACTGGGGTCTTTATCCATTCACTTCATCTCCCTGACCCTCCGTGTTCTGGTCTGAAAAATGCAGTCAAAACCGCCAGACCCACCACCCGGATCCCAGGGTTGCTGCGAGGATTAGATTACAAGTGAGTAAGCCTCCTAAACACCACTTGAGCGGCATTATTCCCGGCAATGATGACCTACGAACTTGGCCCTTTCCTCTCCTCTCCAACTGGAGAGCGTGCTGCTGCCTCAAAGGCCCACCTGGGCACCTGGGTCCAATCAAGGACAACGGGGCCCACAGATACGCTCTTATTTCCCTTGAACTTCGCAAATGCATAAGACTCCCAGGTCTTCCTTCCCCAGGCTCCGGATCTAGGAAACACTGGCTCAGATGCCCCCACTGGGAGCGCAGAGGTACCTGCGGCCTTGCCAGAGGCTTCCAGGGATGCGCAGCCTCCTCTCCAGACAAGTTCTGCCCACTCAGCGGTTCCTGATCCAACAAGAATGGGGTCCCCCCGAGCCTGCCTGCTTCCTCACAGGTCACCGCTCATGACCAGGGACAGGCCTGGGCCCACCCTGGCGGCGGCGGTCCATCCCTCGGGGCCCATTCCTCCGCGGCCATTCACAAAGGGGGTCAGGGGGCCCGGGGGCCGCCCGGGGAGCCCCGGGGGCCGGAGGAGGGGCCGGGCCGGCTTGGGCCACGGATCCTGGGGCAGGGCGAGGGGTCCTGCTGCTGTGGGGGCGGGGATCGGGGGTACCCACCTTCTGCTCGACGCCCTGCAAGCCCTGCCCGAGCTCGTCCCGCTGGCGGCACAGGTCCCGGTGGCTGCTCCGCACCTCCTGCACCTCCTCCAGGACGTGGTGGACGCACCAGCCCGAGAAGGCGGCCGCGGCCACCAGGACGAGGTAGAAGAGCCAGTTGAGCGCCCGGCCGAGCCTGCGCGAGCAGGACGCGGAGGACGCGGCGGCGGCGGCGGCGGCGGCGGCGGCGGCGGGGGCGGACGAGGCGGACTTGCCGCCGCGGTGGCCCTTGCCGTGCGCCGGGCCGGGCGGCGGCGGCGGGTGCTGCTGCGGGTGCGGCGCGGGCGGCGGCGGCTGCTGCGGCGGCGGCTTCCTCGCCACGTCATCCGCGCCGCCCGACGGGTGGGCGCCCTTGTCGGCGGGGCTCGCGGCGCCGTGGCCGCCCTTGGAGCCCCTTTGTTTGGCCGAGGGCATGGCGAGCGCGGCGGGGCGGCGGGGCCGCGGCGGCGGCGAGCGGGCGGGCGGGGAGCGGGACGCGCGGCCGGGAACCGTGCGCGGCTCCCCCGGGGCTGGCGAGCGGCACGCGGCGCGGCGGGCGTCGGAGCGGCCGGGAGAGCGGCGGGCGGGCGGCGGGCAGCGAGGAAGGAGGCCGGCGGGGAGGAGGGAGGAGAAGGAGGAGGAGGAGGAGGGAGGAGGAGGAGGGGGCCTGCCTCCGCCGCGCGCGCCGACCCCGCCTCCCGGGAAGGAAGGCCGGGCGCCGGGGAGGGGGCGGGGGAGCCTGCCTGCCACGCACGCGGGCGGCGCGGCCCCTCCCCGGCCGCCAAGACCCCAAAAGGGGAGGGCCCCCCGCGGGCCTGGGGGGCGGGGCGGGGTCTCGGAGGGCGGAGGTGGGGGTGGGGTTGGGAATGGGGGTGACCGATCGAGGTCTACGGGGGCCGAAGGGTGGGGGCGGGCCGAACGGGACTCCGGGGCCAGGGCTGGCGGCTGCGTTGGGGGGAGGTGGGAGGGCGGCCGGGCGGGGTCTGCGGAGCCGGGATGGCCTCAAGGGAGGGGGCCAAGGACTGGGTGGGCCGGTGCTGAGACTGGCGACTGAGCTGGGGCCACGGGGGCCTCGGGGATAGGCGGCCGAGGTGGGGGTGGCCAGGCCGGGCGGGCCGGAGGGAGGAGAGTTGGGGATGCCACGGTGCAGAGGGCCCAGGGCGCGCCCCCGTCCCTTCCTCCCTCCCTTCCTCTTCGACCTGTGCGGAGGGAGGAGAGGAAGGAGGGCGCCCCGGGGACCCTACCCCTGGGAGTAGGAGTAAGGGGCGGGAACAGACTCCCTCCCCAATTCCTTCCCGCTGGGAGTTGGGGCATCCCCGCACCCCCCCTCCCGTCCCCAAATGCCATCCTCCAAGCCCGCCGCGGGGCCAGGCCCTGTCTCTTTCCCTGGGTTGGAAGGCGGAGGCTGGAAGAGCTGTCCCTAAAAGCCAGTGCACCCGGAGGCGTGCGTGGGACAGTTAGCGAAGATTCTCGGACTGTGTGAAGTCTGTTCCTGGAAACACACGTATTGAGTGTCCCCTTAGCTTTTTTTCCCGGGGGCGTGGGGGGTGTCCCGCAGTCTGTCCAGAGCCCTCCTAGCGCCAGGTTCTGGAAACCAGCAGCAGGGCACTGCCCGGGTGGGGCTAGGGTTGTGGCCCCTTCTTTGGCAGGAGCAAATATATCGAGGCCAAGCAAGACTGTATGTAGCAACTTAAAATTACAGAAACCCGGTAAGGTCGGAATTATTCTACCTGTTTTACAGGAAGGAAACTTGAGGCTGGAAACTTGACTGGCTCAAGGTCACATTCAGCCACCTGCTTCTTCCAAAGTCTGTGCTGCTTCATCACTTCAGAATGGGAAGGAAATAAAGCAACTTCCCACTCCAGGGCTAATTGCTGCTGCGGTGGGGACCGAACCCCACTACCCTGCTCTCCTCCCCAACCTGGTGTCCAGTGTGTGTCCGGCACTGGGTGTGCCCAGCAACGTGCTGTGGGAAACACAGTTTCTTCTGCCTGTTCTCTCGATTCTATTTTTTTTTTTTTTAAAAAAACACTTCCTGTTCTTAAGGCCGAGTTCCAATGCCTTCCCTATAACAGCACCTGGTACCCCTCAGGGGGACTTCGGGACAACAAATAATTGAACATATATATGTTCGACATAGCAAGCCTTTGGTTAGCGCCCACTGTGTGGCAGGCAGATGTCTGCAAACCATTAGCCTCCCCTCCTTGAGGACAGGAAGCAACCACTGCTTGTATTTTTCTTTGTATCTCACCTGGGAAGGCGCTTTTAAAAATCTCTAGTGAATGAATGAACACATGAGTGCCTGCCCTCAAGGGGCCTGCATTGCCATTGGAGAAATGTGCAGGGACATTTTGAAGCTAAATTGAGAATATACATGTAAAGGGAACTTGGAAAGCAGACCCAGGGGGAAGTCTTCTGGGCCAGAACGGTCTTGAGCAAAGCCTCGACAAAAACGGATTTGCATAAGAGGAGAGCAGGGAGGATATTTCTGTGACAAAAATGGGGTGAGCCCAGGACACCTGCCTGATCTGATGGGTGTGTGGTGCAATAGAGGAAAGAAAGAGCTGAGCTGGGTGGAGTGGGTCCAGATTGCAGCCAGTCAGCCAGCCAGCCAGGCGGGAGAGTCGCTATTAGTGTGGGAGGCTGGAGCAAATTATAGTGGGTTCCACAAATATAATCATGTGCACCTAGTTCAACCGGCCACACAACTCTGACCTTGGGTGGGGATTGGGGACGGAAAATAGAACATTAACTCATCAGAGGGTGGTAGGAAAGCCTTGTTTAAAACTTGAGCTGAGCCGAAACTGGTTTGGCTCAGTGGATAGAGCATCGGGTCCCGGGTTCGATTCCGGTCAAGGGCATGTACCTTGGTTGCGAGCACATCCCCAGTAAGGGGTGTGCAAGAGGCAACTGATCAATGATCCTCTCTCATCGATGTTTCTAGGTCTCTATCCCTCTCTCTTCCTCTCTGTAAAAAAATCAATTAAAAATATAAATAAAATAAAATAAAAACTTTAGCTGAGCCGAAACCGGTTTGGCTCTGCGGAGAGAGCATCGGCCTGTGGACTGAAGGGTCCCGGGTTCGATTCTGGTCAAGAGCATGTACCTTGGTTGCGAGCACATCACCAGAGGGGGGTGTGCAGGAGGCAGCTGATCGATGTTTCTAGCTCTCTATCCCCCTCTCTTCCTCTCCATATAAAATCAATAAAATATATATATTTTATAAAAAAGCATGCAATTTAAAAAAAACACTTGTATTAAAAAAAAACTTCAGCTGAGTTCTGATTGTGTTTAGACTTTCTGGCATACACAAAAGCGATCATCCTTCAAGCAGCCACCCATATGAAGGCAGAGACAGCAATCACTTGCAAAATAGCTTTGGGGGCCCAGCCAAGCTCGCCTGGGAGGCAGGAGCCCTCCTTTGTTTGCCCTAGGTCTGCCACCAAACTGTGACCTTGAAACTCCCACTTAACCTCCTCTCTGGATTTCATGGTCACCCTCTCTGCATCTCTAAATACCTTTCTTACTACTGATCTAGTTGTTTAAATGTATTTTTCTGGATTTCAGAGAGGAAGGGAGAGGGAGAGGGAGATAGAAACGTCAATGATGAGAGAGAATCATTGATCAGCTGTCTCCTACACACCCCACACTGGGGAAAGAGTCTGCTATCAGGGAATGTGCCCTGACCTGGAATTGAACCATGACCTCCTGGTTCGTAGGTCAATGCTCAGCCACTGAGCCACACCAGCTGGGCTATTAATCTATTTCTTAGAGAAAATAGTCATCTGATTATTATCAGAAATAATTAAATATTTAAAAATTTTAAGTTGATTTATTAATAGACTATAAGCCAGCTATAAAAATGAGGGTTTTGTGTGTGTGTGCGTGTGTGTTTTCCCCATTTTCTGACTCTACCGAGCCCTGGAAGAATAGAGGAGAGCAGGAGGGGACTATTACTATTATCAGTATTTCTCCTTCCTCCTTTTCCTCCGGGGGGCAGTAAAGTGTAGTGGTTAAGACACAGGGTCTGGAATAGACTGGCTTGCGTTCAAAGTCATTTTTGTGACAGACGGGACGACATGACCTCTGAATCTCTGTCTTCATCTGTGAGAAGAACTATCGATACTTCACCAGATTGTTGTGAAGATTAAATGAGAGACAGTATATAGCACTGGGCATATAGCTAGGCTGAGTGAATAAAGGGGGAGCTAACACAATTTGCAGAGTCATTGAGGGGAACGTATAGCTGTACAGACCTTGTACGTCCAGGTTTCAATGATTTTCTTTCATCGCTATTTCTTGGCGCTCCCAGCACCGTATGTGGCTTATGGACCACAGGCTCTGGTGTATTTAACTGGACAAAGCAGGCACTGTTTTCCCCCGAAGCCTGGTTCTACGGTGGCGTTTGGCTGCAGCCAGAGGAGGAGTTGGTAAGTGGTCATGAAAGAGCATCTTCTAGGGCAGGAAGGCACTGACTAGTCTCCATGGAGGTTTCCAGTCTTCTGCCCCGTCTTCTGAGTCAGCACAGCATGGAAGTTTGTGGAAGTTTCCCTTCTTTCCCCTCTAGAGTTCTTCTCTCTCCCTTTTCCGCTTTGTCCTCCCTCAAGTGTGTTGATGGCCCCCCCAAGGTGTGCAACAGCTGGGGGCAATGAAACACTGAAACACTAAAAGGCTGGGGAAATGAGCCTAGGCTTTGGCTCCATAAGAAGTCAGAGCAAAGGAGGCCTGGGGACAGGTTGGGGCGGGAAGGAGGGTAGGGGGGGTAGGTAGGGAGGGGAGGGAGGGTTACCTGGATGAACTGCCACTGCCCGTTGCTGCCCTGGTTGCAAGCTTCGTGGGGTTCCTTAGAGTTTAGGACAGTGGTCGGCAAACTGCGGCTGGCGAGCCACCTGCAGCTCGCGAGCTGCGGTTTGCCACCCTGTTGGCTAATGAGTTTGCCGACCACTGGACTAGACTAAATGTTACCGAGTAGTTGGAAGCTGTGAGGATTAGGCAATTGTGGCATATTGTGTGCAAAGAGGTAAAGGTATATGACAGTGGTCGGCAAACCGAGGCTCACAAGCGGTAGTTTCTCCGACCACTGGTAGGAAGTGCATGCCTGTGGGGAAAGAAGGGTGTGGGAGTCCTGGGCATGCTCTTGGGAAGGGGTGTGCATGTGCTGGGACCTTCGTTTTGAAGCATATAAAGACAGGGCGTTTAGGGGGATCTCAATAGAACATTCATCTTTATGCTGATGAGTCAAAATGAGGTTTATTCTCTTCATCTGTCCTTGGGTGTGGTTAGCAAGTGGCACTAGTTGAATTTCTGCTGACTCCCTGAGTAGGTTGATTTCATCTATTTACCGTACTCTCTGGTGGGGAAGGAAAAGTACAAACCATTTATTCTTAAGTGTCCTTGGTTTAGAGAAGATAGGATTTCCTAGATGGCTGCAAGCTGCTTGGCACCCAGATTTTCTAGATGGCTGTAAACTGCTGTCTAACTCTTGTCTCAGTTTCCCTATTTCACTTGTCCTAGCTCACTAGGCTGTCTCATTCCCCCTTCAGAGACTTCCATCCCTGAAATCTTTTCAAGGTGATGA